CCAAAATATCCTTATTATCCACTAATTGGGTCCAAAATACTCTTGTCATCCACCTTTTTGTTCAAAATTGACCACTTATTTAACAGTTTTATATTTAAACTATTTAAATATTTTTTTAAATACCTGGTGCTCAACTATTTGTTATAATTTAACTTATTAATATAATTTATAAATCAATCCACTATCCACCCATTACTAATTAAACCCCTCTAAATTAATAAATCCGTCATATTATTAATGCAACAACAGATTAGCTACTACCAATTGAGTGTTTTTAAAAATTTGAGATAAAAATATCTAAAGAAGTAAATTATCATACATTCAAATGTCTAAATAAAATTACCGATAAACTTAAAAGTCTGACTATGTTTATCTTAATTATTCTTACATCTCAATTATGTGATGTTACTTCATAGGTAACTTTTTTAAAAAATAATATATTAAAGGTTTTACAACAAATAATAAATATTTATAAAATTATATTTTAAAAAAATGCATGAATTAATTTGGGATGTATTACTTCTTTACCTCTAATCATAAATTTCTCATTCAATCTTGAAAGAAAGTGTCCTCCTAAATAAGCGGCTCAACCTAAATTTAATTGGATCTTCGATTCGGACTCGAATAATTTTGAATGTTATTTTCAGGAATCTATAATTTCATCATGTTTTAGTAGTGTTTATGATGATTCTGATATTATAATTGAATTATTAATTGGGTGAGATTTAGTTAGTAATTAGTGGGTAGTGAGTTGATTTATAAATTATATTAATAAATTAAATTATAACCAATAGTTGAACGTCAAGTATTTTAAAAAGTATTTAAAGAGTTTAATTTTAAAACAATTAAAAAAGTGGTCAATTTTGAATCCAAAGGTGGATGACAAGAGTATTTTGGAGTCAATAGGTGGATGAAAAGGGCATTTTGGAGCCAATAGGTGGATGAAGGGTAATTTTATACCATTTTCAATACTTTAAAGATATTTTAGGCCCTTTTTCGAAATTTCTTTTAGAAGTTATGGGTGCCATTTTTGCTTTAATATTGGTAATAGTTGCTTGGAAGAAAGAGTGATGCATTTGAATTTGCATACTTTTAGTTTTACAACAGATGTTGTTCAAGATTACATATAGTTTTTATAAATCTTACCTACTAGATAATTAATTTCAAAATGCCTATTATTAGATATATTTATTTTTTTTAAAAAAATTATTACTTTTTTTTTCTAATAAAATTTTAATGAGGCACATAAAATATCTTTTAGACATTAAGGGGAGTATTATAAACATTATGTATTATAGTAAATCGTTTAAAACTTAACATGACTTTCTTACTTTATTTTAGTTCTAATTTTCTTTTGAAGGGAAATCAAATTATTACCATAGTCTATTAATGTTTTAACTATTCCTAGAAGGAAAAATATAATTTTCTTTCATAGTTGAATTATTTTTTCCTTTGAGAGAATTTAAAAATCTATCAATTGAAGACTCCTATTCTCATACTGGAACACAATATAACATTCATAATTTAGTCACTTAAGAATTTTACTGATGGAGATAATTTCTCTCTATAATTTTATGCATTTTTTTAAAAATAAGTAAGCAAATTGGTCAAATAACATAATAATATTGTATTTATTTTAGTATAGTTTTATATGTTGTCTGATTTATCGATATTATGATTTGCAATCGTAAGCTTTAACATGATATCTAGATTTTTTTAACTCAACAAGTGATATCAATGCAAATGGTTCAATGATTCAATGTATATGAATGAAGTTGAAAACATGTTCAAGGCAGTTTCAAAGCAATTTGCAATAAATTTGATAATAATAAAGATTTTCGTTCAACTACACGTGGAAAAGAAATTTGAACCATATTTTCAATAGGATAAATTTTAGGAATCACATAGTTTTAATATGAAATAACAATTTATCACTCTTTAGTTTGTAATTACATTAATCCAATAAAAAGTAACACAAAGCGGACACATTAGTATGTAGCTCGGATACATTATAACATAAATTGAATACATAATGTAGCTCGAATGCATAATTATGTAGCTTGGATACATTAAAAACTAATTCAAATAAATTATAAAATAAACCGAATACATGATATGTAGTTCGAATATATTAATATGTAAGTCGAATACATTAAAGAAATAAGGGATTTTAGAAATATAATGGGATATTAGAAATAATGAAAATATATATAAGACGTGTATTTCATTAATTTTGCCTTTTCAACAATGTTGCTCCTTTTAAAACCAAAATCAATTTTCAAACTCATGCTTATTTTCATGCATGAGCTCAAACTTTCAACCCGAGCTAACTTTTAAGGCATGGACTCCATATTTCAACTCATACGTATTACTTTTAAAACATGAGCTCTACTGTCAATTTTGTTCATATAACTTTTAATACAAGACTTCAATTCATCAACCCGTGTTTACTTTAATGCACAAAAATTCACTTTTTAACTCATATAAGTTTTTAAATCATGGTAAACAATAATGACTTTTGTGAAGAAAAAGGATGAAGAGTATTTTATCAGAAAAGTCAAGTCGAAAGTGGAATTTTTTTATGATTTTCTTACTTTATTTGGACATTATTTTTCTCTTTTAAAAAAGTCAAATTATTATCATAACTATTTTTAACTATTACTGAAAGGAAAAATATAATTTTCTTTCAATATTTGATTTATTCCTTCCTTGAAAGAAAAGTTTGGAACTCTATAAATCGAAGACTATTGCTCATACCATAACATTATATCATTAGCCATTAAAAGAATTTTGTTTATAGGAAAATTTATTCTCTCATTATCATATGTAGGCCAATTGACTGAATCGATCTTATAAAGTAGTTTTTTTTAGTATTTCTTTATCATCTAATTTAGTATTATAATTTACAATTATAAGCTTCCGTATAATATCGTAATTCTTTTGAACCCAACATGAATGTCTATATTATATAGGTTTTTTTTTTAAAAAAAAGGAAGCTAACTTACGAACGAAATCAATTTTTTTCCATTTTCTTACTAATATTGCAAATTTTGCCACGGATGTTTACTTAATACTGGATAGCTAAATAAGTAATTGAGGAATCTTATTTTATCACAAATCGTGTATTTTTACTTGTAAATAAAATAGCAATCAAAGAGGAAAAATAAAAGAACTTGCCTGTGGTTGGCAAAAAATATATAGAATTAAATGTCTCTTGTGATATGTGAAAAGATCTTTTTTTTAGCAAAATGTTGACTTTGCCTTTGGTACTCAATACATTGAATACCATTCAAAGCTTTCTTCTGTTTTATTGTTAGTCTTATGGGGTCGTTCGGCTTATGATTTTATTAAAAAATCCTACTAATATTTTTTTTAATATTTAATAAATGTTTGAATTGTAATTATTCAAATTTAGCAAATTATGTGTGTTTGATTTTTAAGTTTAAATCTTAATTATTCAAATTTAAATTATTATGTTTATTTGTTTCTTTTTTAAATAATTTTTCAATGAATCTGAAAAAATCTGAACAAACTCTTATATATAAGAGAGTCTTAACAACATTCAGACTTATTGAATAAATTACAAAATAATCACGTTGTCCACCTCCTTTTTTCTCTTTGCACATTTTTGCCTCTCTCGCTACCAACTTTTTTTCTCAGTTATATCAATCAAACATCAATTTTTATCTTAAACTAATAAGTTTGTACCATTCTTTTCAAATATTTTTGTTTAGTATTTTTTTAATACGAACAATTTTTTAGTGTGTATTGATATTTGTCAGAATTCTTATTGTAATAATATTTTTGGGTACATTAATGATATTTATCAAGAACTCTCAAAGGTTTCCGCCATGATCAAAATAATAATTATGTATTATACATACTTGAGGTCTCTTATTAAAATTTTGTTTTATACTACTATTTGATTGATATTTTCTTAATTATCCAACTTATTTGTATGATTAAATTCACTGGTAAGTAAACACTAGATATATTATTGTTGTTAAAACTATAAATATACATATTTTTTTTAAGAATTCAACATACATCTTTTTATAAAAAAAAAATGGTTCAACATCAAAATAAAATTTTTATTGATACGTAATTTAAACTGCATGTAATTAATTTTTATAATCAACTGTAGACATTAAAATATTATTTTAATCCAAAATTAATATTTTTTTAATTGAAATGAAAACTTTATAATGTTTAATTTCATATGCATATTTAAATATTAAAATAAATAATCTTAATCATTTATTATTATTCAGATATAGAGACCTTTATTGTCATAATCTTATAAGTAAATTTGATCATATAAGCATATTTGATGATCAAAGAGATTTAATAAAGTTGGTGCCTTAAAATAAATTGTTAAAGAGACCTCAAGTATATGCTTGTTGTTGTACGAGTAATGAGTATATTTCTACTTAGAATTCTTGAGTTCTTAATAAATATCAACACACCCAAAAAATTATTGCAATAAAAATTCAAAAAATATTAAGATAAAACAATAGGAGAAATAGTAGTTTTAGAACCCAAATTAATTGTAATTTTTCTATTATTTGACTAAACATATTTACTTTTTAATTAACTACTAAATAAAGAGAAGTTCATGAGTATGAAGCCGCTATAACTATTTATGCTTCAATCAGCTTAATTTTAAAAATAAAAAATACTTCAACAATTTAACTAATATAAAACGAGAGGAGTATTTAATAGACTCTTTAGAATAATAAATTAAGAATCACAACATGTATATTTTTGAAATTTATTGCTAAATAGATTTTTCTGAAAAAGAAATAAATCAACTAGTAATATATTAAATTTAAATAATTAAGATTTAGACTAAATGAAATCCCTAATATCAACTAAGAAGTGTTTTATTTTAACACGTCTTTTTATCTCAATTTATATAACAAGACAAGTTGAGAAAATTATTTTTAATTTGGATTTATTTGGTACTAGCACTTTTTTCTAAAATATCAAGGACAAAAATGGAAGAATATTATTGTATTTATTTGGGGGAATGACTCAATTACTGTAAAAACAATTTGCAAATAAAGTAGAAGACGAACATATAATGGACCATCAACAAACTCCGAACGCGCCACTGCTTCCGCCGCCGATGCGGCCAACGGTACATCAGGATGACGCCGACGAAGAAGACGAAACTGTAAAGCAGCTCAACGAGTGCTCTTCTGTCTACTTATCATTACAGGTATCTTATTCAATTCTTAAACCCTAAACCCCAAATTGGAACTGATCACAAGTTTACATATGCAGGATTGTCTGATCAATTCTAACCGGAATTGGAAATCTTGTCAAAAAGGTATCTTCTATCTTAGTTTGCTTCACATTTTGTTATTTTTATTTCTTTTAGCGAATATGAATTTTGTATCCTCATTTAGAAAGAGGGAAAATAAGTGTTATCATTCCAATTAGAAATCTAAATTAGTTATTTGCGATCAACTGACCACTATTAGCTGACTAGATATCAAGAACATAATCGATATGAAAGTTAGTCATTATGATATTTTTTGTTTGAACAATGAAAATTAGTGATATAGCCGGTCCAGCTTGATAATGAAGTATGTTGTTGTATGAAACCTATATATTTTAGTATAGTATTCCAATCAAAGCAGAACGGAGATTGAGATAACATATAGCTCTGATGGGTAGAAACATAGTATACCGGGGGATCTACATGTGCTAGTTTTCAGCTGGCATGTGATGCAGCATCAAAAAAGGGGTAGAAATGCACACTTTCATGTTCAGATGTGTGCGTACTGAGATTCTCTTGTTTATAATATCAATTGTATTAACGCGGCCACAGAATAAAAAAGAATGCATACCACACTAGTGCTTGATTGTTGACTACTTTTTAGTTTATTCCAAAAACTATGTGCTGGTTGCAGAAGTTCAGGCTCTCAAGGCATGTAACGATAGAAGACAGAAAGACAAGAGGAGTTGAGAAATTTTTCGAATTTGGAGGCTTACAGTTAACTTTTTCTGCTGATTTTTCTTAAAAAGATACACAATGATGACTAACTATTACCTGTTGTTGGAATTAATAAACTGAGATGAGTTATGACAAAAACATGCTATTTTCTTTGTGTATTCTATCTCTATGATTATTATGCTGTTTTTTTTTTGGACAAAATCAATCGTTGACTTCGTTCGGTGTGTTTTTCCCTTGTTCTCTTGCTATCCGTGAAGCTTCCTTCTTTAGCTCATCAATAATCATCTCTTTTTTTTTGTATAGCAAAAAGTTTACAGGGTCATAAGTTGTGGCTGTGGCACTACAGAAACAACCAAACTAGCAGATGATGTATGTACAACTTGCCTAGTGGAACTAGTATTAAACATAGAAGACCTATTGGAGTAGGATATAGACTGCACTCTTCTACTATACAACTCCCCATTCTTGTCAGCCTGCAAAATATTCGTCAAGGATGCTGGAGAGTTCCAAAACAGCAGAGTGTTATCATCCATCAAAGTAGTAGTTATGGTGACAACAACTAAAACATCCGCTAGTTCATTTTGTTCCTTGTAAACGTGAGAGTCATGAAATAGCGGTGAGTTTAGTAGGTGCAACAACTGTAGTGAGTCCATGTTTCTTTCCAGATGCATCATCCCATATTGCAGAGCTAAAGTAGGTCCTACCAACATAGCTCACATTTCCATCTCAAGAGGCTTAGAAGTAGGACAAGTCCCTGTAAATCCAAGTATCCAATCTCTGACACTATTTCTAAAAACACCCCCTGCGGTAAATAAGCCTGAAACTGAATCACAACCACTATCCATAATAAGCATAATGTTAGAATTAGCAGACTGGTTTCTTAGTAACATGACATACATGTTACTAAGAAAGGTTTTCCCTCGAAGATATATTTATTATGTCGTGCCAACCAAACAGCCCAAAGACAGAAAGGAAAGAAAGTTGATGCGCGGGTATGCAGTGAATAAATCTAGCACCCAAAAGTTTTACAAAGCTAAGGAGAAGTACCCAAAGAAGCAATTTGTTGAGTGGTTCCTAACTCGAACCACAATGGTTGATATAGGTTGTGTTTATAGACTTTGAATAGCCACCAACATATATATCAATAAATCAAAAATACTTCAGTCTTGAAATAGTTTACTATCGGTTCTATGAATCTCTATTATTCATTCAAGACTAAACATAAACATGTTCACAAACAGTTGCTTCAGCCCTCTACCATTTGCCAAGTCTTAAGGTAAGGTGAAAACGACACCATTTTCAGAGTAGAACAGATGAGGTATTTGCAGGGATAAACTTGACAGAAACGCTGTTGACACAGTGTCGTTCATCTGTGGGTGTGTTGTGACCTTCTCCTTTGAAAACATGACCAAGATGTCCACCACAAGCAGCACATGTAATCTCCGTCCTCCTTCCATCTGGATCTGGCTGCAAGTAGAAACAAATAGCGGAGTTAGAATTTTCACCAGTGCAATTTTACGACGAAAGAGCATGCATACTCACAGAGCGATTTATCGTCCCCGGAAGACCCTCAAAGAAAGCAGGCCAACCACAGCCAGAGTCAAATTTGGTTGAGGATTTATACAATGGAGTTCCACAACCAGCACAGTTATAAATTCCTTCATCAAAAAACTTGTCATATTCACCACTTCCCTTTAGCCTGTAAAATACTAATCTCTCTCAGCAAAGTTGTTTCATCGAATAATACATACATCAATCAAATATTTTTTTGCTTACGCCAAAAAAAAAAAAAGAAGATAAAGAGAATAAAGAAATTACTCAGTTCCTTTCTGACGGAGGATTCGAAACTGCTCAGGAGATAGAATAGCACGCCATTCTTCCTCAGATTTCTCAACTGCCATTGTTAACTCCTGTGAACAACTTCTCCTATTATATAATTTGTTTAAACAATGAATCTGGACGGAAAAATAGACTTAAAAGGAATATTGATTTGCTCGAAATCTATTGAGATTTGGAATATCACAGATTTATTCGAAACTAAAGTTTTGTTTAGATACGTAATTTATTTAATTTTAAAAAAATATAATATTTATTTATTTGTAAACATGAAATTGTAGTGGTAAAAAAAATGTGTTATAAATTTTTTACAATGTTACTTAACAGGAAAATATAGCTGCATCGCGGTTTAAATCAAATCATATGTTAATTAATTATAGTTAAGTAAAGTGAATTATAAATTTAAACACATGTACTAATTTGGTGTAAACACTCGGTGTGGATAAATTATAGTTGTTAGAGCAAAATATTGCCGCATTGATAAATTGAATATTATCATGTTTCTTTTATAAATAAATGTGCGTGATTATAAACTTGCACGTAATTTTATTTTTAAAAAATCTAGTAAATAGTAGTATTTCATATTGTACAAACAATCTCTGCACTCTGAACATGAGCATGAATTCCTTTTCTTTTTTTTTTTAGAAAAGATCTTGCCTTTAACCTCTTTTCACAATTTTGTATTGAAGTTATAAAAATTCTTCAAATGGATGATAAACCGATATAAATATTGAGTCACCAAACATTTGGGTCATGAAGAAAGGGACTAGTTCATATATTTCAATTTCGAGAATAGAAAGTAGTTCGTTTTCTATCTATACGCAATTCAAGATTTTATTTGTGTTCACATTGACAATTTTTAATATAAATTTGGTGGGTCATCTTCCCTTCTTACGAGTCCCCCCACCAATCTTTCTCCGATCATAAAGTCCACTGATTCCTTTATTTATCTCCCTAAATGAGTAAAAGCACGCTCTTTCAAATTAAAAATAAAAGGGCTCCTAAAAAGATGATCAGATTTGTCCATTGCTCTTAAAAGAAAATGTTATGCTTCCATTCTATTATACTTAATTTTGTATATTTATCCTTACCTGCCTCTACCACACCTCATTTTCACTTCCGCCTCTGCAATCTACCACCCCACCCCTACCTTTCATCATTTTTATCTAACCTTAAGAAAAAAAAAAGTAAGAAACCCACTTGGGTAATAGTATTCTCCTTTGTACCGAACTCACCCTTAAAATATTTCTCTAACAATGGAAAAATTTTATACGTATCACAAATGTACAGATATCGAATGTACAACGTAAGTAACAGTTCTCAAATTTATTAACGCATGCACACAAAAATATAAAAAGAAAATCCCAATTCATTTCACCTAGAAAAAATAAGAATATTCAAAGTTTCATTTTTGTTCTTATGAAATATTTCATAGATTTTAGTATTTTAAAATGTTAGTGACATGTATGTATCATTACTATGCCAAGCGCGATCAAGTTAACTAGTGATACTAAAATCACTATTGTTCTCCTAAATAAAAATAATTAAATCTACTACTCCTTAAGCGAGCTCCCCAATGACTCACTTTCAAGTTCATGAATATAGGGTGTGGGGCTATGATGAGTTACTTCCAAGTTCTCGCCTTCGACCCAAGAAAACAAAGCTCATGACCTAATTCACCTAAATGGAATTCATATCTCCTTTGTCTGGTCGACAAGGGAGGTGAATTATTTGGATTACGTTAGTAAGGAAACTTATTTTTCCCTACAACACAGCACAAGGACTCATAAAAAGGTAGCAAGTCCACCCACACAAGTGAGCTGCCTAATCTCTAGTACGACGATCATTGTATATACAAATTTAACCAACTTTCATGCGTGGTATACTTGTTTGATACTACTTCATACAACAATAAGTTCTTCCACAGCCAAGTCGAAATGATATGATACGAAATATTGTCATTCTAAAACTGACAAGTTTAGATGGAATACAGTACAAAGTTTGCTCTTACTTGTTGCAAGAAGCTGCAACTATTGACTAACCCATGTACATGTGAATCAGTGTTAAGCTTTTTGACAGAAGCAACGCCCCAGCAAAGAAGTCTCCAGAACAACTCAGGTTAACTTGATTGATGAGCTATGCACAAGAACGTAAAGTGTGAAGAAACTGAAGTGAGTAGTGTAACCAGTTGAAGTCAGAGGGCAATAGATCCATAAACTGCTAGATTCTTTTACAAGGAAAGGACATAGGTTCAACTGCTAAGTGAATGCTGCTCAGGTCCTGCTATCTGTCATATTCAATGTGTAGAAAGGTATAGTAAACCACTATCAGTTCGTGCATCTACTTATGCATCGATTGTTATATACGTTTATAATTATCAATGACTAAGGAATGAAGGATGTTACCGTTTCAGGCACATCTAAAATATGTGGAAATGCGTGGAAACCCTTGGAAGTCTTTTCTTTGTTCAATCCCTACAAGAGAAGTAGGTGCAAGCGGTCACTTGTAGAACAATATACAGATAAAGAAAAAGAAAAAGAGAGAAGTTGGGAAAGAGTGAAACTCACAAGCTAGATGAAACTACTACTCTGGAGCTCTGGTCTGATGACGGAACAGTTTGACAACAGCTCACTTCAGACAACTCACTCCTTACTGACCGATAACCTTCCGAAGCAGACGGAGTGAAATATATCTCCGATGTTTCTTTCTCTGTGTTCGTTGTTCTTCCTCCATTTCTCTTGGCTGTGGCACCACCACCTGACTATCCCAACTTCAGAGTATATTAGTTAATCCAAAAGTAAACAGAAACATGAAGTAATCTTGAATCGTGGAATACCAAAGGCAAGAAATTGCAGGCATGCATGTGGTGACTATGTTGTTTTGATCCTATTTTAAATAAGTTAATAGACAAAATCCACAATGAAGAAAGAACTTAGTCCAGTAATATTAGCAACAGATGCTCCTAGAGTCCATCGATCAAATTGTTACTACTTATTTCTAACCATAGGAAAAATAATGTGAATTTATATATATCCAGAGAATTAGAAAAGAAACAACAAAATCAACAAATAAGAATCAAATGGTTCATACATTGGATAAGGCTTTAATATGTACAATGATGATTGTTATATCATCTGTCCGATTTTCATGATCTAGCCACAGTTTGTAAGACTCTCCAGCAATGGCTGAACTTGCATCCCTAGGATCCGCAGCTCTATTTACCTACACAAGAAGGGAATAAGAAACAAGGCAGAAAATGTCGACAATGACTGAAACAAATGGTGGCTGAGATCAAGTAAAAGGAATTTGCTCATTTACATGAAGATAGATCATATTGATCTTAACTAATGTCACAAAAGCATGATCCGGCTTTTCTATTTAACTTCTTTTTTGGCATTGTTCGAATAATTTATTGGCATAACTACCACTAATCGTCAATATACGAAGTGCCACCAGTGTTGTCAAAGCATTGAGTGTGTTGAATAAAAGGATCAAGGGTCTGCAGTGGCTTTAAGCCTATAGCACAATTAATGCATGAACTTGAGAAATTTTAGCTAAGGAAGGAACAAATGATGAACGCATATTATATACAGACATGCAGCAACACACTGACACACATTATGTACGAAAAGTATCTATTCAGACAAACTAAACAGCAGAAAAATTGTCAATAAATTGAAATATATGAAGTCAAAATCGTGTAGATCAAGTACAGGAACTGTTTTATATTTCACATTCAGATGTAAATAGTACAATTTTAGTTTTTAATTTTAGCTTTTGCTGTTTTTTAATCAAGAGATTTAGCTAGTTTTCTTATTACTGTATTTTTATTACCTAACTTTAATTATTAACATATTCACTCAATATTATTTAGTTCTTCTCTTTAGAAACAATGCCTATGAGGAAGTTGGACACATCATATCACCTTTGTGCTTGCATTAGAGTATTGCATGAACCAGAGAAAAACAAAACAGCTTGCAATGCACCTCAAGCGAGCCTTTAAAAACACTAAATGCCACATAAGTTAGACAAGGACGAGATGATCACCGGAAAAGAACATTTCAGAATATCTACAGAGAAAGAAGAGGAAGGAAAAGAAAGGCAAATTTTCATATGTGGTTATCTATTCAAGAACTTCCTCCTACCACCAAGGGATACAATGGAATATATGGGATGCCTCCACTCTTAACCAAAGGTCTCGAGTTCAACCTCTAAAAATGGAGAACTTTGAAGTCAAAGAACAATTGAATAAATGAGACCACTAATGTTATAGTAGAGATATCCACAAAAAGTGTTCGTATGCAGATATTAAGTAGGTGTACAACAAAATTAAAAATTAAAAATCAGATAGAAGATACAAATAGCAGCCATAGAGGATAAAATGCGAGGACACCGCCTAAATTTGTTTGACCATGCTACATAGACCTCCAACTACACCCAGTTTATAGGTGCAACATAGCGATGATTCAAGGTGTAGGCCTAAAATCACATGGAAATTTTATTTCAGAAGACTGATAACCCCTTGAATTCAACCGAAGTTAACAAAGAAAAAAACCAAATGTAGGTAAAAAGTCCATGGAGGCCATACCAACTGGTTGAGATCAAAACTTAGTCCAGATCCTGTCTTTTGCCAGGAATATAGTGTTTTCAGATTTTCTCAATGTAGGGATAAGTGCAAAATGTAAATAATATCCTGCTTCTTAGTACCATAATTAATGTCTTTAAGGACAAACTATCAAATATTTGCATAAAATTGGGCCAAATTATAATGGGATGGATGAGGATTCATATCACTTGGGTCAACTAGTTTAAGGATGAGGTGCAGTAATAGTAGTTTCTATGTTTTCTCATTAGATACTAACTTTAACTTGTCTTAAGACTTCAGCTTAACTAAATGGAGTTACCAACAACTCAATAAATTAAAATGGGTTACCCTAAACAAAATGCTCCCCAACTAGTGGGGTAAAGAGAATGTGTATACAGTATGTAGCCTTATCCTCACATTTTCACAAAGAGGCTGCTTCAACACCCTGACCTAAAAAATATTATTTTTAATCATGAATGTGTGACCTATAAGTAACCAAAGGAGCAACTCTATCAATGTGCCAAGTTCGCCCTCAACTAGTCAAGAAAATGCTACTTAACATT